TTGAGAAAAATGTATCTTATGGGCTCCATATACATTTTGAGTGGCTGTCCGGCTTAAGTTAGATACTACTGATAATCTGAGATTGAGAATTATGTCAAGTTTAGTCCTCAGCCTCTCATAACCGATAACTTGGAGGTAATTGTGTTGTTACTGCAAAAACTTATATTTCTTCATCACAAATCTACCATATTTTGCTTCTGTCAAAACCCCTCATTTCATGTTAATTTTCAGACTTTTGCTTGTGACATCATTAAATATATATATTCAACTTGTTATTCAGGATATTTTAAGAACTTTTCATGAGGTTTTTTATTTTCACACTTTGAAAAAATGACTAAGTCCGAGAATGGCCTCTTAATGGCATGTCCCCTTTGGTGTAAAAATACCGAATAGAACTGGAGATATTGCCATTTCATTGATGTATGTAAATAGAAATAGTGGTGCCAAAAGGAGCATAGTGTCCTGAAAGGTATTATACAATAGCACGAGGGGAAAGTGTACCTGTGTATATACAACCTACCGCCGAGCAAGACACGCATATACTGCCTATCAAATGTTTGGTTAACTACATCTTATAGGAAAATGGACAAGGGTAATATTGGACCTCTATCAATTCCATTGGATGGTTAGAATCGTTACTAAGGTGTTCTAGCAGGCGGAATTGGCCTAGAATTATAGTTGCAATATATTTGTTATGTCCAAATTAAGAGATAAGATAAACGTATAATGGTTTTCGATTTGTTTTTCTCATTCATACTTGCTTTAATTGATAATGAGCCATACATAAGACATACTTGGGCTGGTAAATGTATGTCATATGTATAATATATTAAGTGTCAAAATATTAGGTCAAAATAGCACTTTTGAACAGCAAAATCTTCAAATAAACTTTGTCCTAAAAGATCAGATGTTATCGGACATCGGACCCGACGAGTAATATTATAAAGATCCGAAAATAAATGAAAGTAAATGATCTCAGAATCCGAACATTACTTGAGTAAAATTTGTTGAGATCCGATTATATGGTCGAGTCTATGACATGCTGCTGATGAAATAGTGTTAGTGTTACTTTTGGGAGTTTTCGAACCTTGATTTATTTGCCTTTATTAGAAGGGTTACTCGTTATTAATACTATTGTAACATTTTGACCCAGACTGACACAACAGAAATGAGGCTATCAACAGGACAGGAGGACAGGAAAAGTGCGGAATTGCGTTTAAATCAATTATGAATATGATCTTTCTTCATTTTAGGAGCCGTTGTACTGATATTTTATCCAAACTTGTGTGCGAATGAATTGCATTTAAATCAATTATTATCCATATTTATGGATAAAAATGAATATGTGTCATGTTCCTAATCTCTACTGGTCAATCTTTTTTTTCATTTTAGTAGCCTTTCTGCTGATATCTTAATTTATTCAATATTGAGATTGAATGAGCTTAACAGGTAAACTTTGCACATTTTAGACCAATCAAAATATATAACTATTTTTCATATGTTTACTGTCTTGGTAGATACAAAATATAATGAAACAAAATAATGTAATATATTTGCAACTATTGTATCTTTGATTCAAATGGAGTAAATACAGCCATGGTTCTTACTTATTTAAGATGTAAAACATCATTCTAATATTTAGAAGTTGAATTTAGCGATTTGATAGTAAATATTGAATAAAGTACTCATTATTCTCTAAACATGAGTGCCTGGAACAACAATTACATCGGTTACAAACAAGTCTGTGTTTTATCTATTTCTCATATTGAGAAATTCAATATAAAACAGGAATTTATTAACTTATCCCCTACATTTTCAGACATCTTCGGGTCTTTGTTTGGCGGTAGGTTGTATGGGTACACTTTCCCCTCGTGAATAGGGCTCCATATTGAGCCTATAGTTACGAAAGTGATAAAGGACAACTGAATTAGTAATTTAAACCTAAGGGAATCAATTTTATAATCTCATCGAACGAAGATCAGATAATAGGGATATTCTGTCCATCCGTACGTACGTCTGTCCATCCGTCCGGGCAATAACTCCTATACCGTTCGCCAGATTTTGTTAATATACTCCTCAAAAAAAGTTAAGGACCAGTGGTTTTCCTCATAGGTTTACATGTTAACCCCCATATTTGTTTGAATGACTAGTTTCTAGGCTTGGAACAAAAGAAAACCCGATTCAGTAAATAAATCAGTATCTTGATTCTATTCTCTATGAAGTCTGCAAAATTCAATGTTATATCTCCATTACAATGGGTCAAAACTTGATGTCAAAATTGATGAATTTCATGAAATTTAACAAAAATGGCAGATCGCATGTTAAACAAATGAGGAATGGTGGCTTAGGGGCAACTCAAATTTTGGAATATCTATTCAGTAAAACAAGTGTTAAAAATACTTTCTGTGTAGAAAACTGAATGGTTTTACATTCTACATGCTAAATGTCTAGCTTATATTGTTAAAATTAGCGATACAGAGCTTTAGAAGTGATTTTGACAACCTCACTGACCACCTGTCACGGGTAGTATCTAAAGCCCCGCTATGATTTAAAAATTGCGAGCAAGTTCCCGCTGAAATCGCGAGGAATAAAAATAAGTCATGGGTTCTTTTTTATGTTCTTGAATTGTATGATTTACAAAACGTTTTCTTTTAATTTTTCCCAATGATTACATGGTATTGAGACTAAAAAAGCAACTGCTGGAAAAAATGTATCACGAGCGGTCGTTCTGTGGTTCGTTCATTTTGAATCTTTATCTATATATTTCTATACGTTATTGGTGAAGAACGATGTTGTCCTGTGGTTGAAATAACGATAGTGATATGAATTAAAGATGTACCGAGTTTCACTTCCTAAAGCTTTACAGAACATTTTATATTTAAATTTTATCATATCCCTCAAGACCCCGCTTCTAGCAGGAGCAATAAAGCAAAGATCCCGCTGAAATCAGGAGGAGGCCCCGCTGAAAACATGAGGAGATCCCGCTGAAAACAGGAGCAAGTGTCTCTCAAAAATGGAGTGAATCTCGATTATACCCTGAAAATCTCCCACTTTCGTACCCACCTTGATCCACTATTGTACCCAGTTTGATGAATACATTACTTGTCAAAACAATTCTCAATAACAGCAAACACAACTGTTAAATATAGTTCATATTATGATACGTTGTTATGGAAAACTGCAGTATCATATTTCCATGCCATTTTACGGAATAAGAAAGATCATCTGAGAAATGTGATGAGTATTAGATCGGACGAAATGTTAAACATTTAACCTCATTTTCATAATTTAAAGTAATATAAGTTATGGAATGATTTGAAGTGCAATATAGGATATATTGTGCTTAAAAAATTCTGTATTGGCACGAGATGAAATCAAGTGGAAATACAGCATATCGAGAGCACAATATATTCTATGTTGCGCTTCAAATCGTTGTATAACGTTTTTTATCGTGTGATCTTACTACATAGTCCATAGGAAATATTCTGTATTCTCTATATTGCAACTGTCCCCTCTGTTCCATCTTTGAGTGCAAGTCGATATTCAGTAAGATACACGAATAAGCGTGCGTTTAGGTCAACCTAAAATGATTTAGTCAGAATAATGTTTATGAATATTATTCCTATATCAATCTCCTGTTGCTTACTTGCTTGCTCGCTTCATCCCTTCCTTGCTTATTAGCTTCCTTCCTTCCTTGCTTCCTGGCTTCCTTCCTCGCTTCCTCACATCCTTCCTTCCTCGCTTCCTCACATCCTTCCTTCCTCGCTTCCTCACATCCTTCCTTCCTCACTTCCTTCCATCCTTGCTTCCTTCCTCGCTTCCTTCCATCCTTGCTTCCTTCCTTCCTCTCTTCCTTCCTTCTTTGCTTCCTTGCTTCATTCCTTCCTTGCTTCCTCACTTAATTCCTTTGCTTCCTCCCTTCCTAGCTTCCTTCTTTCCTCACTTCCCTCCTTTCTTTCTTGCTTCCTTCCTTGCTTCCCTCCCCGCTTCCTTCCTCCCTTCCTTGCTTCCTCGCATTCTTGCATCCTTCCTTCTTTGCTTCCTTCCTTCTATCCTTGCTTCCTTCCTTCCTTTCTTGCATCCTCCCTTCCTTGCTTCCTCACTTCCTTCCTTCTTCGCTTCCTTGCATCACTCCTTTCCTTGCTTCCTCCCTTTCTTGCTTCTTTCCCTCCTTGCTTCTTCGCTTCCTTCCTTCCTGGCTTCCTTCCTTCCTTGCTTCCTTGCTCGCTTCTTTCCTTCCTCGCTTCCTTCCTTGCTTCCTTCCTTCCTTGCTTCTTTCCTTCCTCGCTTCATACCTTCCTTTCTTCCTCGCCTCTTCTTTTCTTGCTTCCTTCCTTCTTTGCTTCCTTCCTTCCTCGCATCTTTCCTTCCTCGCTTGCTTCCCACCTTGCTTCCCCGCTTCCTTCATTCCTCGCTTCATTCCTTCCAGGCTTCCTCGCCTCTCTCTTTCATCGCTTCCTTCCTTCCCTCCTTGCTTCCTCGCTTCCTTCCCTCCTCGCCTCTTCTTTTCTTGCTTCCTTCCTTCCTTGCTTCCTCGCTTCCTTCCGTCCTTGCTTCCTCGCTTCCTTCCGTCCTTGCTTCCTCGCTTCCTTCCGTCCTTGCTTCCTCGCTTCCTTCCGTCCTTGCTTCCTCGCTTCCTTCCGTCCTTGCATCTTTCCTTCCTCGCTTCCTTTCTACCTTGCTTCCTCGCTTCCTTCCTTCCTTGCTTCCTTCCTCGCTTCCCTCTTTCCTTCCATGCTTTTTCCTTCCTCGCTCCCTTCTTTCCTCTTTCTTTGTTTCCTCGCTGTCTTCATAAATTTCTTCCTCACTTCCTTTCCTCCTTCCTTCCTTGCTTCATTCTTTCCTTCCATGCTTCCTTGCTTGCTTTCTTCCTTGCTTCCTTGCTTGCTTTCTTCCTTGCTTCCTCGCTTCCTTCTTTCCTTCCTTCTTTCCTTCCTTCCTCACTTCCTTCCTTCCTCACTTCCCTCCTTCATTCCTTGCTTCCTTCCTTCCTCGCTTCCTTTTCCTCCTTCCTTGCATCTTCGATTCCTTCGTTTTTTCCTCACGTCCTTCCTTTTTTGCTTCATTCCTTCCTTGCTTCCTCGCTTCCTCCCTTGCTTTCTTCTCTCCTCCTTCCTTGCTTCCTCGCTTTCTTTTTTCTTTGTTTCCTCGATTCCTTCCTTCCTCACTTGCATCCTCCCTTCCTTGCTTCCTCCCTTCCTCACTTCCTTCTTTCCTCCTTCCTTGCTTCCTCATTTCCTTCATTCTTTCCTCGCGTTGTTCTTTTGTCGCTTCATTCCTTCCTTGCTTCCTTCCCTCCTTGCTTCCTTGCTTTCTCGCCTTCTTCCTTCTTTCCTTACTCACTTCCTTCCTTGCTTTTTCCTTCCTTCCTTTCTTGCGTATTTGCTTGCTTCCTTCCTTCCTTGATTCATCGTTTCCTTCCTTCTTTGCTTCCTGGCTTCCTTTCTTCCTCGCTCCCTTCCTTGCTTCCTTCCTTGCTTCCTTCCTTGCTTCCTCAGTTCCTTCCTTCCTTGCTTCCTCGCCTCCTCACAGACGAACGCACGCAAGAATGGACGGTTGAACGAAAGCACGCACGGACGAACGGACGGCTAGACGGACGAACCCACGAACGAAAGGGCAGTCAGACGAAAGCAAGCACAAACGGACGGTCGGACGAACGCATGCGCACACAAACGGAAGGACAATCGCACGAACGGATGCACGCACGAATGAACGAATGGACGGTCGGACGAACGCTGTCACGAACGCATGATTGGGCGATGCACGCACGAACGATCAATCGGTCGGATGAACGCACGCATGAACGAACGGTCGGTCGAATGCACGCACGAATGAACGGTTGGACAAAGAAACCAATGAAATATATGTGTCCTCAGAAGTATAATCCTTGGAATAGTTAATTATGTAGAATGTACATTTCACTCTGAAAAGTACAAAGTCTATTTACATATAACAATTTGATCATGCCGCTGACAGATGGATTAGACTGCCTGAAGTTGAAGAAGAAATATTTGTGATGTTGCCATAGAATGATATGTTATGTGATTGTCATTAATACGTTATTTGCACATTCGTGTACGTTCATTTAAAGAAGCTCACTATATTCATGGAATAATGATGAAGCTTTCCTCGTGATTGAAGCGGGTAGTCGTGAAATTTGCTCGTGTTTTCAGCGGGGTCTCCTCATGTTTTCAGCGGGGCCTCCTCATTTTTTCAGCGGGGCCACTGGAACACCTTTAATAATGTATTTCGACCCCCATGGCAGGTGTCATTGTCCAGTAACTAGTGAATACAGACCATCTTGATCCGATATTTATTATGGAGTATGTAAATCGTATTTATTGCCTTTATTTTAACGATAAAGGTAATATATAAACAGTAAATTATGCAAACGTGCATGTTGACGCCTCTTTCCTTCATGCAAGTAAAAAATAATCATTTTTCATGTCATTTTTTGTCAAATACGATATATATCTCGTATATCTGTTTTCAACGTTTTGCTGGAGTATCAAAGAACGGTTATAAGTATTTTCATCCTTTTGGTTCATTTTCCAAAGTGATACAAATAAACAGGACTATGCTCGCGATTTCAGCGGGAACTTGCTCGCGACCTTTCAATCATAGCGGGGCTTTAGATACTACCCGTGACCTGTGTTTCAATATGAGGATCATAAAAGGATGATTGAATTTGAAATCATTAACTTTTGTTAAACCTGGAAAATTGAATCATATTTTTGTTCAGTGGACAATATAGCAAATTTAATTGTCTCTTAAAATTTTATTTCTGAAAGCAATCGGTTGGATGGATCGTTCCTCATATGACTTATGGCACCCCAACCATTTCCTATTGGCTAACATGGGGTCTGCCATTTTTTCTAAATTTCATGAGATTCATCAATTTTGACATCAAATGTTGACTTATTGTAATATAGAGATATAACATTGAATTTTGCAGACTTCATAGATAATAGAATCAAGATACAGGTTTATTTACTTTATTTTCCCACCGAGCGAAGTTCTGTAGGGATATAGTAAAGCCCTACGTCAGTCCGTCTGTCTGGAAGATAACTCGAATACTGGTCAACAGATTTTATTTATATTTGGTGGAAAGATGTATATTGGTGAATCGTTTTACGCAAACTTTTTTTATTTCAAGATGGCCACTAGTTTAAAAATGGCGGGGATTGTACACAAAAATCTTATGTTTTTTTAAAACCCGAAAGAATATATTATTTGAAATTTTGGTAGTATATTAACAACATCTATCTATTTCACATATATCTCAGGTTTTTCACCCTGACCCCCGGGGGCCGTATATGGGGGATTGGGAAAACAGAGATTTGCGTTAATTTTGAGATGTTTTTGAAGTATAGCTTAATCATACTCAAATGAAAGGGAATTTAGAGTATATTTCAAATATTTTAGCGTTTTTCTGATTCGGGCCTCAAAAAATTCAAAATGGCCGCCTAATGCGGGATTTCGCTATTATTTTCTGATTTCTTAAAAGTATGGCTATTAGTCTATATATTATACTCAAAATGAAGGAATTTCAGAGTAGATCACATTTATGGCATTGTTTTTCTGATTTGCGCCTCTGAAAATTGGCTGACAAGAGCAGAAATTCGCCCTTACTCAGAGTTATCTTGAAAGTATGGTTACATGATACTACAATGATTTAAAATGTTTATTGAAGGTAGGAGTAGATAGTAGATATTACATTGTGACTGTACAGATTGATGATTTATATAGTGTTCGTTGGGATTTGTTACTCCGTGGAGTTACCATTTTCTAGTTAAAAATGTTATAAATGTAAAAAAATTATATAAGACATTAATTAAGTTAGAAATGTAAATATATAAGAAATTCATGGCAGCCATCTTGAAAAATGGCTGCCTTTGCATGTCATTTTACAATTTTTGCTGCAACTTGAAAAGTAGTGGAGTGGATTTTGTTCATATTTGATATATGAATACTATTAGCATGGCACACTGTCTGATGACACTTTGGGTAGTAGGCAGCCATTTTGAAAAATTGCCACAATTTTACGTTTTATTTACTTTATCTTGAAAAGTAGTGGAGAGATTTTTGTTCATATTTGATATGTAAATACTCATGAGCCTTGTACACTATCTCATGGCACTTCGGGTAGTAGGCAGCCATTTTAAAAAATGGCCACCAACTTTAAAAGCAATGCAGCGATTTCTTCATATTTGGTATGTGAATACTCATAAGCATGGCACACTGTCTTATGACTTTTTGGGTAGTATGCAACAATTGGCCACCATTTACATGTACATGTTATTTACATTTACATATTTGCTATATATTTCGTTTGTAAAAATGCTAGCCGTTGCTCTTCGATGGGATTTGCTACGTTTTGGCGTTGCTTTGTCTAGTTTAATAATGGATGTATTTGGACATGTCATTTAATCAGTAATATTGCTACTGTTTCATTATCCCACTGAACAAAGTTTGAGAGGGATACAAGAGAAGCCATTCGTTTGTCTATGTGTCCAGGCAATTACTCAAATACCGGTTGACGGATTTGATTCAAATTTAATAGGCTTATGTTTAATTGGTGCAGGACCTCTGCTCTGCTGACCTCTCTCTGTGAAGTTGCAGTTTTCTAGTTTTACTACACATGTTACCTGCTGAATAAGCAATATTTAAATGTTTTGTGACTTTTTTGGCCCCAACATGACTTTTCACTGGCCATCATGTGTCCTGTTTTAGTTTTTGACCTCATAATGCAAAGGTTTTCTGTTGTTTTTTACACAACAACCCTGTGGTTGCCTTGATGTTGTGATAATCAAGGAAATTATGAATTATTTACGACGGTACTGTTTGATCCATTTGTTAAATTATGTTATTATTAAAATAGTAACAAGCCATTAACGTAATTTAAAATCTATTGAAGAGTATCACGCAGTTTGTGTTTTCTGGTAAATAGACACAGTTTGTGTTTTATCACTTTTTTCTCATGATCATCAGACTTAATACGAAATATTTTGTATTGTACATGTACTGGAGAACTGGGTAGAGATTTACCTATGAAACAAAACGCAGGTGTTTTCTATATCTGTGAGAAGTGTGACATCAGCTTATGTGACGGAAATCAAAAACTGATCACATTTTTATGAATCTGCTATTCTAAAACCTATGTTCATCTGAACATAGTTTTCGCTATCACATGGTAGAATCAAATAATCTCCACCGAATGGATGTATGAAACTATAAAACAATGCAGATTTTATGTCTTAAAATATGGACTCCAAGTTGTATGATGCAATGTTGAAAGGCATGCAATTTGTTAGTGTTTCAAACTGCTTGCATAGTATGCACACAGTTGGGATATGGACTCCTGATAACTATTCATTGAAAAAGCTGATGACGCTACATGGGGATAAAGTGGTGTGGGTGTTGCACAAGAATTTCACTTGTGTGTGTATACTCATAATATGAGTGAATAGCAGGCGATTTCAGGTTATTGCATTGGTAAGCATCCTAGTCAAGTACAATGCTTCTGAGAGCTTGACTGACTTTTCCTATTTTTATGTACTTTCAGATGCTTTCCTCTGACCTTGGAGATGTAAAGCTCTGTCTTGTCTGAGAAATGTTGGATAGGAACTACAATCTGAACGGTCTAACTGCAGCATTTGTATCTGCACTCCACATTGTTGACTACTTCTGGTGATGTCTTTATGCGACTCATATAGCATTGTTGAGGATGGGACATGTCTCTAGGATCCTGTTCAAGTAAGTACAGTATTTCATTTCCTAATGTTCAGTATTTCTTTCAGATTTACCTTTAGCCTGGAGTTTAGAAGCCCACTAGAATCTGAACCACAAACCGGTATCTAAGCTGGCCTCTGGAAGACCAAGGCATCTGCTGGAAGATGAGCAACAAATGGAAGCCAAGCCATCAATTGGAAGTCAAGCCAAGATGGTCATCCTACAGGAAGTCAAGCCAAGATGGTCATCCTACAGGAAGTCAAGCCAAGATGGTCATCCTACAGGAAGTCAAGCCAAGATGGTCATCCTACAGGAAGTCAAGCTGCCCTCTGGAAGATGAGTCCCCTGCTGACAGATGAGTCAGCTGCTGGAAGATGAGTCACCTGCTGGAAGATGAGTCCCCTGCTTGAAGATGAGTCACCTGCTGGAAGATTTCCACCTGCTGGAAGATGAGTCACCTGCTGGAAGATTTCCACCTGCTGGAAGATGAGTCACCTGCTGGAAGATAGCCACCTGCTGGAAGATAGCCACCTGCTGGAAGATAGCCACCTGCTGGAAGATAGCCACCTGCTGGAAGATAGCCACCTGCTGGAAGATAGCCACCTGCTGGAAGATAGCCACCTGCTGGAAGATGAGCCACCTGCTGGAAGATGAGCCACCTGCTGGAAGATGAGCCACCTGCTGGAAGATGAGCCACAAATAAGCATCAAGCCACAAATGGAAACCAAGCCACCCATAAGCATCAAGTCAC